GAGTGTTAGCTATACAGCCAGGTAACACTTTCTATGGAGTATTTGTAACAATGTGAACTGTCTGGCATTGTCTGTTGATGGACAGATCATTTATACAGTATATGTAACAGTTCATGAACGCACCATAACCAAGATGTTTTATGTGCCTGAACCTAACCAAACCTTAAACCCAGTGCTATACTATCAGAAAATAATTTTAGTTGTGAAACAGTTGAATTGTTAAATCTCAACGGGGTAGCTGTCCCGCACGGTAAACGGTGCCGGCAAAACTACATGTGTGAAAAGTTGGGGCTGTCTCATTCAGATAGTGATTTTTTTCTTGTCTTGTTATGCAGAATTTAGACATCATTTGCAGACATCCAGTTCCCCGTTCCTTATCTGTCAGCTGGCTTTGGCTGATTTGTGGCTGTTTATTGAATCTTTGGGTTTAGATGATAGAAACTGTGCTGCCTTTCTGCAGGGAGAGGATCATATCTGCTGCAGTGCTCTGTCTCCGTGTGGAGGCTGGCTGGCATACTCTACTGTCTCCGCCGTCCGTCTCTACAGAATACAGTACAACAACATCAGCATCACCAAGGTAGGCTCCTCCACACTGATCCTCCTCCTTTTCACTCATTCTATGTACATTAGGTCCTTCTTTACAGAGACGGTGAAACCTGAGCAGCTGTTTAGAGCATGAGATAAATGTGAACCAAAGTCTGTAAACATCTGCAATGTGTTTGAGGATTTCAGTGTTACACTCCATGATGAAGCTCTCTTCTTCCTCCCTGCAGGTTTCCAAACTACCCAAGGACCTTCGCTCAGCCCACCAGCTCTGCTTCTCCTCCGACTCCTCCAAACTCTTTGCCTCCTCCAACCATTCTTCGGTCGTCATCGTTTCCCTCAACCAGCTGGAGTGCAAACACCTCCACACTCTCAAACCCAAATCAGGTGAGTCCAGGGTCCTGACTCAGTGCTCATGGGGTTTTCTGGAATATTGTAAAATTGTAAGCAAGAGTTAAGAAATGTGATCGTTTCTGTGGAAACAAGGGTCACACAACCTAACAATTTACCCCCATAGACGAACGTTAACAGTTAATTAATAGGCAGTCACTTTATTATACTACCCAAGATCCTGGTCATAGTGTATAGTGTTCATTGTTGGGCAGCAACTAACAACTATTTTCATTATAGATTAATCTGTTCATAATCTAAAAACCAAGCTCACGTCCTCAAATGTCTTGTTTTGTCCTCAACCCAAAGTTACTCATTTTACTGTCATACAGGTCATACATTCTTCACCAATACAACGACACAACATTACTCTGGAACATGGTTTAGATAAGTGGTCAAAAAGCTATTCGTGTTCCCCAAATGAAGGTTCCGACCTAAAAGTGATCTGAAGCATGAATGTGACACCTGCTGGACCAATTTTGTGCTGCATACACTTAGACATGGCTCCTACACCATCAATGCCGTCTCTTGACTTCCAGTTTAAAGTTAGAACTGCAGCCTTTATTTGTCGGGGTATAAAGTGTCTTTGTGTGTGACGTCCAGGCTCCAGACAGCCCGTGCACCTGCTGTTTGCCAGCGAGGATGGAAAATGGCTCGCTGCAGCAAACGCAGACCGTGAGATCCACGTCTACAACCTTCACAAGCTAAAGGTGAGTCTTTTCCTCCTCTGTCCATGTCTTTTCTTCATAGTTCTTGATGGGTGAAATCTAAACTCCTTACGTCTATGTGTGTGCCTGCAGCTTCACTGTACAGTTCCAGTGTACAGCTCCTGTCCCACAGCCATAGCCATCCACCCAGCGACCAGCAAGCTCGTCGTGGTGCACGCTGACCAGCAGGTAAACCATTTTTCCTACCAATAAATGACACGTTTCTCAAAGATAGTATTGAGATCTGTTTACAGTGTGTGTTTTTCTGTTTGTGTGTGCATGCTGCAGATCTTTGAGTACTGCTTGATGCAGAAAGAATACACAGAGTGGAGTCGGAAGCTGCAGAAACAAGGGCTGCACTCTCTGTGGTTGGAGAGGGACACCCCCGTCACCCACATCACCTATAGTCCCAAAAACCCAGCTCACATCTTTCTGCACGATATGTACATGTTCTGCATCATCGACCAGAGTCTGGTACGTGACCCGTCACCTGTCCGCCATGTTGGTACAAAGCCTCCTCCTGTGCCGCGTGCATTTCAGATAACGGTGCAGATTAAATACAACTACAGCTAATGTGTTTGCGTCTTTGTTTCAACATGCAGCCCCTCCCTGAAGCAAAGACTATGCTCTACAATCAGATGACACTGAGGAGTCTTCCCGAGCTGGAGAGGATCAGACACAGCCACGCCTTTAAGATATGCAAGAATTTCCAGGTACCATTATGACACTGAGCACTGCCTCTATGTGAGGAGAGATACAACCCAGGAAGCCAAGTTTGGGTAGTCAATAAACTCAGTAGTGATCCAGAATGAAAATCTGCTGAATTTAGTGAATTGTTGTTGTCCAGCAGGAAAACTTTAGATATGAATGTTTGCATATTCCGAGATTCTGGAATTTTTAATGAGTTAGAAACAAGAGATGACTTTTTAAGGATTTTAACGTGGAATGTGATATTCTGTCCCACAGCACCTCCTGTGTGTGAGTTTACTAGAGGACCATTCGCTGGTTGTGGTGGAGCGCCCCCTGTTGGACATCATGTCTCAGCTGCCTGCACCTGTCCGACAGAAGAAGTTTGCCACATAAACAAACTGAAGCGGGATTCCTGGACCTGTTTGAGCCCTTCATTTTCAAAGAATGTTAACGTGTCTCCACTTTGTAAAAACTGCTTTGATAGAGTAATAAATAGAACTATTTACTGTCATTCTTGTTTGACTGAGAAATGTATTAAATTTGTCACACAATCAACATTTTAATGTTTGCTCTGTTTTAAATGTGATATTAATCAGTAATAAGATCCATGTGTATAATGTTTTTCATTACTGACTTTTTTTGCTTCTAGCTAGGAAGATAGGTGCTCATTTTTGTGCAGCCCCATTGACATTAACAAAATGTTTGCACAAATTTTAACAAACTTTTTTTTATTTTTTTATATTTAAATACATGTATGGTGGAATTTTCAAAGACTCAAATTAATTGATAAACAAGTACAATCTCTGGACCTTTTTTTTTTTTTATTTATTTTTTTTTTGATGCCAGTCAGGAGCTGCCCTGACACACGTGCTCAGTCATGTCACCAGTGTTACAGCTGTTCAGACAGTAGAGAGCACTGCTGAGCTGCTCTAATACTATCATACCAATGACTGGGTGGCAGGCAGACCTTTATTGTAGCCAGCGGGTGGTAAAATAAGGGTGTGATATTATGTGGAGCTAACATAAGCTGCTTTTTCAGATTTTATGGCCAAAAGTTTTGGACATTTAATTCATCTTGGGAGTCAGTCAGTCATGTTCAAACAGGTGACAAATTAAAAGAAAGAGACTTAAAGTCCCCTCCAGTCAGAAATCAGTTCCTTCTTGTCCCTACAGTGTGCTGTTTGAATGATGTTTGTGCAGAGTTTGACTCTAGAAGGATGTTTTCACATTCATCTGCTGAAA